CCACCGGGCCGGCCCCACAATTCATTTTCTTAATGAATTTGAAAACTTAAGTGAAATGGACAATAACTGTCGCTAAAGAAAAACAGAATCCAGAGTTGCTGTATTATGCAAAAATGTTCAGTTTTCAATGAAAACTTATTAGATATGCAAATATCAGGTAAGTATGATGTAAACTCAGGGAGAAAAAAGCAGTCAAGAGACACTTACTCTGGTTAAGACTACACATTGTATTTAGCAGATGAAGACTTCAAAGCAGCTATTATAGGTATGTTCAAAGAATTAATGGGACTTATGTTTAAATAATTAAATTAAAATATGCTGACAGTTAACCAATAGATAGGGAATCTCAATAGATAAATAGAAATAAATAAGCAAGCAAGCAAACAAAAGAACCAAAAAAGAATTCTAGAGTTGTAAAGTACAATAATATAAATGAAAAATTCACCAACTGGACTCAACAGCAGATTTGAGATGACAGAAGACAGAATCAGTGAACTAAAAGATAGCTCAATAGAAATCATTGAATCTGAAACACAGAGAAAAAGTTTGAACAAAATGAGTGTTTTCAGAGACCTGTGGGTCAATGTCATGTATTACAAAGCATATGTAATGTAGTCCTGAAGGAGAGGTGAGAAAGAAAGGGTCAGAGAAAGACCTTTGAACAAATAAGAGCCAAAAGCTTTCCAAATTTAATGAAAAACATGAAAATACGAATTCAGGAAGCTCAATGAACTGCAAGTAGGATAAATATAAAGAGAACCCACACTTAGATACATTATAGTCAAACTGCTAAAAGCCAAAAATAAAGAGAACATCTTGAAAGCAAAAAATAATTGATTACATTCAGTGGAAATAGTAGGATTAACTGTGAACTTCTCATCAGAGACAGCAGAGGCCGGGAATCAGTGAAATGAAACATTCAAAATGCTGAGAGAAAAAAAAGTCAACCAAGAATTCTATATCCAGTGAAACTATCATTAAAAAATGAATGTGCGGGCCGGCTCCGTGGCTTGGCGGTTAAGTGCGCGCGCTCTGATGCTGGCGGCCCGGGTTCGGATCCTGGGCACGCCCCAAGGCACCACTTCTCCGACCAACCCGAGGCCGAGTCCCACGTACAGCAACTAGAAGGATGTGAACCTATGACATACAACTATCTACTGGGGCTTTGGGGGGAAAAAAATGAATAAATAAAATCTTTAAAAAAAAAAAAAAAATGAATGTGAGGGGCCGGCCTGGTGGTATAGCGGTTAAGTTCGCCTGTTCCGCTTCGGCAGCCTGGAGTTCGCCGGTTCTGATCCTGGGCGCAGATCTACTCACTGCTCATCAAGCCATGCTGAGGCAGTGTCCCACATAGAAGAACTAGAAGGACCTGCAACTAGGATACACAAGTATGTACTGGGGCTTTGGGGAGAAAAAAGAAAAAGAGGAAGATTGGCAACAGATGTCAGCTCAGGGCTGTTCTTCCTCAAAAAAAAGCTTTAAAAAAAAATGAATGTGAAATAAAAACATCTCCAAATTTTCTGACATACCATGGTAAAAGAAAAATTTATTCTGAGACTAAAACTCAAGTTCAGTCTCTATTTGCAATGTGTTACAGCTTGGAAGACAACTCAGGGATCGAGTGATCTGTTCCTTGCAAGGCCTGGGGGGTTTAATTGTGGGTGTTTGGTCATCAGAGTTTTAGAAGATCAGAGCATGCATGCAATTTAACGTGTCCCATGTCAGAGGGTATATAAAATTTCACATGTTAAATGGCATAGAGCAAGGATGGGAAAAATTGTGAATTTAGGTGAAATCAAGAGCTGGTCTCTGTGGCTACAGTCAGTTAGCCTTGGGTTTTAAGTGGTTAATGCAGGGGTACGGGGCATGGGGAATTTTGCAGGGACTTCAACTTGACAGCATTGAATAAAATCACAAAGCATGTGAAATGGTTTTTCCAAAGCATAAACAGGGTGATCTGCTTTCCCTTGAAGTTGGTTGAAACTGGTGACTTTTTTTTTTTTAACACGTGGGACAGTGTCTTCATGTGGTTCCCAACAACTTAATTACTTTTGATTTCTGTTGTTGTTGTTTGGGGCGTAAAATACTAGGGGCTTTCTTTTTAAATATCCAGTTGGCATCTCTCTTCAGGCCAGGAAGACATCACTGAGGGTTACGTGTAGTCCCACAGCTGACAGAAATAATAATGCTGCTGCTGCTGATGGCAATGAAAGCAAACACTAATGCTTGTTATGTATCAGATAGCAATTTTACATACATCAATTATTTTAATTCTATGATTATTTACGTCATTTTTAGGTAGGGCCCTGGTTCTGCAGATGAAGTCAGGACACCTTAGACTTACCTTTAATTTGTGTTGAGGCATAGCTTTTATTTCATCAGACATTTTAAGACGTTTTTCCTCAGTCTCTAGTTGCATCTTTCAGCTTGTCCTCCCGCTGTTGCCTCTGGAGCTGGACGTAGCTGCCAGCATTGCCAGTCCCCTCACTATGAGTGGAATTTTTAATGCTCTGTGTTTCTTTGAATAACTGGCTGCCAGTTCAAAGGCTGGCATTTAACCCTATGTCCTAGATTCATGTCCTAGCTAAAAAACTAGACCAGGAAGATTTTGGTTTAGAATTATTATTGTAGAATTATGTGTTATTATTTATAATTATTATTGGAACTTTCAGCTTTTGTGCTCTGACTCAGATTCTGCTGCAAAGCGTGTGGAATTTCTGAAACACAGGAACAAGATTCAAATACTGGGTTTAAAAATAAGGGGGAGGCATGAGAAATGTCTATTATATCTACTCATCATGTGCCTCTCTTATTTTCTGTGATGTATAGAGGATCATCAACAGAGATTTGATGATCTTATCTATACATACTCTTTTCCCCTAAAATGGTGTTTAGGGTACTATACATAGATATTGTTTAAGTTATTGCTACCAGACAGGACTTCAGATTTGTCTTACTAATCATTAGCCTAGGAAATTTTTACTTAAAATATTAGTCTCTTCATCAGATAAAATGAGAATTGAAGATGAGTAAGAAGAGCTCAGAAATATTGATAAGGGACACAGCAGGGAATAAGTTTTCAGAGAGGCATAAGTATGCTATAAGAAGAGGTGGTCATGAACAAACATAGTGTATTTTCACTTGGTAGAGAAGCCAGTGAATCTATTGAAATGTAGGATGACTAGTTGGATGGACTTTCCTACATGGGAACACACTGTTGTCAAAGAAAAGTGATCACTGATGCAGTTTCTTACCTTTGCTTCAAGGCATTTAAAATATAAAAGATTCCTGTGTGACAATAGCCAAACCCATCAATCATACCTAGGCTAGGCACAGGAAGAAAGACTAGGTGGTGACACCATGCAGGGTGTTAAGGAAGCAGGAACAATAATAGCTTGTGATAAGAACATTAAAATGTATAGTAGGGACAATCAAGATCTTTGCAAAATTTTCCTAAATAGTCTGGGTATATTGTACACTCACGATGTCGGTGCTTTTGCACTGTCTTATACTCTCCTTTCACATACCACAGAAGCAGCCCAAAGAGATCCAAAAGTCATCTTTGGAGCTACTGCTACTATTGCTTATCATCAGCCTACCCTTACAAAATATACTCTTGATGCAGGCAAGAAGAAAACGGCTGCTGAGGTTTCTTACTTGGCTTACCGATGTGGACTTAAACCAGAAATGTGGGGTTTCGTGTAAGAATCTCCTCTCCTAGGTGTGATCAGTACTCTTACGATATTTAGTGATTCTTTGGAAGTGGAAGATAATGTTGGCCTATGCGTGAGGATGATGATAGGGATATAAGAAACAAGAGAAAGTATGTTTTATAAAGTATGACTCCTAGATGGACTTCAAAAGTATGCTTTCTCAGTATCCAAATTTGTTTGACTTATTTGAAACATTAAAATACTTCCCTATTAGCCCAAACCCTGGTTGTTCAGTCTTGTTTTTTGCATTGAAATTAGCTTTTGTAGAATAGTAAGATTAGCTAACACTTTTATAGAATCAGGTACCAATTTAAGTATTATACTTGTTTTAACTCATTTGATCCTCACAACAACCCTGACATATGACGTAAATACTCTCATTTTCCCCACTTATAGACAAGGAAATTGAGGATCACAGAGGTGAAGTGGCTTGCCTAGGGTCCCACAGCGTGTAAGGAGCAGATGTTTGGATCCCAGGAAGTCTAGGGCTAGAGTCTACACCCTTAGCCATGATGGGCTCCTGCCTACCAGAAAATTATTAAAACCTAAAAAGTTTGCTCTTTATACATAATACATATAAACAGATACGTTATCTATAATATGTTATATTTTAAAATAATTTGAGGAAAATGAGTTTAAAAAAGTTTTCATTGAGATAATTAGCTAATGGTTTACCTCAGTGATTGTGCAACAAATATGTGATATTTTATATTTAATTTAGTTTAGAATTATTATTGTAGTTATTAATGTCCATGTGGTTTATGTTGATTAAAAATGTTAATATAACTGTGGAGCATATAAAGAGCCATAAATGATGAAAGGGGAAGCCTTTTAACTTAATTGGAATCTATTAAAAATGAAATAAGCAGTCTCATTTGTACAATAAATAAAGTATGTTCACATAGAACAGTAAAGCAGGAATAGCTTTGCTGCTTATGAAAACAAATAATCATTTCTCTCAGTCTCGTATGAAATTTGATTTTCATTATGAAATCTGAAAATGAGAGTTTGATCTATATTATGAAGGCTATATTTTTAAAGAATATCGACCTAAATTTTATAATTCTGTTTATTTTACCTTAAATTTTGACAAATGAATTTACACTTTTATTAGGAGGGCGTAGATTTAGGGATACTCTCTTAAATTTCTATTTTTAATGATTAATTAAAGGAAATTTTAATATTTTTCCACTTATCCCATTGCTTAGTGTGAACATCTATACCATATCTTCTTGGATATTTTCTATATAAGATATGTTTGTACTCATCCTTTGAAATTTTTTTCAGGGCATTCCGGCACCAGGCAGCTATGATGTTCAAAAATCATACGAGATGTCTCAAGTTCAACATAAATACATGCCACCTCGTAGTCTTGTGGCTAAAATAAAACATGCCTCCTTTCTTAGCACAACTCCTCGGTGCCTGGACAAAATGACTGAGGGGCCAGGTAAGTATGGACTCTCCTTTTAAAGCTATGGGAAAAAAATCTAAGGTTTCCATATTAAAATAGACAATTGTAAACATACATTTACATTTGCCATGCCTCTTTTAAGTGTGTAAGACAAAAAAAACCTCACTTACTCAGTGAAAGATTTTAGATTTTTTTCAACTGTAAGATTTGTTTGGAATTTTATGTCTTTTAATTTTACCAAAGACAATTTTACTAAAGCTAATAAAGCCATCTTCTATTAGAGAAAAACCCCAAACTCTTAATATGCTAGAGTTGTTAGAGGAGAAAGGCACTCTACCCTGATTTGCAAGATTAGTCATATACAAGATATGCATCATGCCAGTCTCATGGAAGTATTTTAATTTTTCTCAAGTATCAAGAAAGCAGCTATATAAAAAGATAAACATTTATTTGGGGAGTTAAAATTCCAAAAATAATTTTGATTTTTAAAATTGGGATTAGTTCAGTTAGTAGTAATAGTATTCTTGGTTAAAAATGGATGCAATAACTTTCCCTGGTAATGAAGATAAATCAGTAAGTATGTTATTTCACACGGGAAAACCAGATAGAGAATAGGAACAATAGTTTTCAGCAGTAATTTACAAATGTCTTGCCACTGAACAACCAAATTGTTGTAATGAATCTTTATGAGAATATGAAGAGAAAAAAGTAAAACAGAATGGAGTAACTCTTTTAAGAGTTTTTAATGAAAAACCAAAGCAGAAGAATACAACCTGTCAAGCAAATAAGGATACCTGCAGACCCTGAGATCCATAGAGGTTTGCTTTGTTTTTTATTGTCTTTCGAGAATCAAGTATATTGCCAACTTAAAGGTCCATTTTAAGTCAAAACTTAACTTTTCTTGTTTTCTTTTTCTTTTCTTGAGTTGTTTTACCATTGTTGATTTTGTCAGGTTTTAGCTTCGTTATAAAGTAGAATTCAAACACATTTAGTGTGTCCCTGAACACACCTGACCACATTATGTGGTCACCTAGGAGTGGTTCAGGGAAATTAGTTCTTTTTTTTTTTTTTTTTTTAATATTTTATTTATTTATTTTCCCCCCAAAGCCCCAGTAGACAGTTGCATGTCATAGCTGCACATCCCTCCAGTTGCTGTACGTGGGACACGGCCTCAGCGTGTCTGGAGAAGCGGTGCGTCGGTGCGCCGGGGATCCAAACCTGGGCCGCCAGCAGTGGAGCGCGTGCACTTAACCGCTACGCCACGGGGCCGGCCCGGGAAATTAGTTCTTTGAAGTTCTGTTACTTTCACTGTCACCAAGCACAATCAATCAAATAACACATATCCATTTCAGAGGCTTTTGGAGTAGATTATGTTGATCTTCATATTTTCTGAAGAGTTTTTCTCTCTGCCTTTACTCTCCTTTCCATAAAAATTCTTATGGATGGAATGAATAATAAGAATTTCAGTTAAGTGCCAGGATTGGCACTGTGGCTTTTCATTGCTTCAATATTTAGCCTAAGGTAAGTAAATTCACTAATTGTTTCATTAGTTTCTATTTTACAAAATAAAGATAATATTTGCCGCCTACTTGGCTCTCATGAGAATACTAAAGATTAATAAGACTATATTTCAAAGTCATTTTCAGAACCTCTGCAGCTCTTTAGAAGTATAAAATTTTATTATAATGTGAAACATGTTTCTTTTTAATGTCAAGCCAACCCTAGCTTCTGAAAGAATTTGGGAGAGGTGAATATCTTCATTATGAAGACAGTTATTATTTGGAAGTCAAAGACATAGTGACTGTTGAAGTCACTATTACAACTGCAGAGTAGCTAGCTTGCTAAATGAAAAGAGTTTATCACATTGGTTAAATCAATAATCTATCAATTTTGCCATCTTGCATCTTAAAGAGGCCTATACTTCAAAGAAATGATAGCAGAAATCCCACACGCCTCTATAATCAACACATTAGAAAAAAATGCATGGATTTCTGAAGCTATTATCTGATGCCATAATATATAAAATTTGATTTCCTCTGACATGGGCAGACATTATAATAATTATAGAATTGTTCATTTTTTAAAATTTAATCTGCTCTCTTAAGGTATACAGTCCAAAATACGCCTCTAACATAGATTTAATAGGCAGCCAGCATCAATTCAATTAATATCCATGCTTCATTTTGATAATTGAAGATTAACTTTCATTTGTCCTAGCTTTGTTACATTGATCCAGTCAAGGAAAAGATATTCAGGGGCAATGCTATCAACTCTCTAAAGAGATGCCTCATTTTTTATTGATTTTTACTTAGGTTAAGTTTTTTATGGATTGATATGACAAAGAATTCTTGATTCTTTTTAATATATACAGACTAATATGGTTTTTTGCTCTAAAATGAGAATAGCCCATTTCTATTTATAATTCTTAATACCATGTGACTTTTGCTGGGGACAACTAATATGTTAAGTCTTTTGATTTTTTAAAAAAATCGTTGTTATATAATCAAAAGGTACAGTGATAATAGTTCTATTGGTTATATGCTCTGTGTCAATGTTTATCCTATGAATGCTATCCTTTAATATTGTATCTTCTTAGAAATAAAATAATAAAAAAGTGTCTTTATAACTCTATTATTTGTCATTTAAACATTGGTAATTTTGTTAGACCTTAATACCAATGGGAAGGACTTTTTTGAGTTGTATGTCAAATTCTTTGTAAGTCAGATAAAATTATTTTGTGTTATTATGTGTGTGTATATATATATACATAAATGAAACTATAAGATTGAATTAATTTATATAGCATGATACACAAATTTGTTACTTGAGTCATGACATTTACTAAGAAGAATGGATTGTTTTGCCTTATAAAACTTAAAGAACGTGTATCTTTATCTTGCTGCCTATAGATAGAATAATTGGCAAATTAAAATTGATTACCAGATATCTTACATTTATAGGTAAAAGTGTTAAGAACTTAGGTTGATAAATGATATGAGTTATGCATTTGGTTGATATGAATAATATTTTTCTCATGGGACTCACAAACTCATTCATTCAGTCACTCAACATTTTATAGCCATGTATTTATTTCAAATTGTTTTAGAACTTTTATTAACAATATGGAAGTGATTTTGTTTTATTCATAAATGAAATCTTTTCTTTGACTGCATATATTTAAAAAGGATAAAACTCATTTTCATTAGTCTAAATTAAAGAGGGAAATAGTATATTTGCAATCAGTATACTATATACCATTAAATGTTGTGTAACCAATAAAAACACATTAGAATCATTTAATGAAGAAATTATTAAATGAGGTGTATCCCATTATAAAGCAATCTCCTCTTATTGCACCAAGTTTTAATTCATGGATATGTAAATGACTTTGTGATTGATCTAGCTCAGGTAAAGAAAAATTCTTAAGTAGAAAAGGACTTAAAGACAACTTTATCTCTCATATTGACCTGTTTTGGACATTTAGAGAAGGGAAAAATTTAAAGCAAATTTAAAAAGAAAATGAATGAAAACGTTGTGAGTGTGGAAAATTGGGGACTATCTCATGTCGTGGTGGAAGTATAAATTGATATCAGCGATTTTCAAAGGCAGACTGGCAAAATATTTCAAATATACATGCCATTTAACCCCCAAATTCTACTTCTGGGATTACACTAAGGAAATAATGATATGCCCCAATGTAAGCATCAAACATATTCATCAAACAACACTAATAACAAAAAGTTTAAAATGTCCAAATGAAAGAAAAATGGGGTTTAGTTATTCTGATACATCAGCTGAATAGAGTCCTATGAAAAATGTTAAAATGGAATATATTTTTTAAACCTGGTAACAAGATAAGATTCATTTGATTAATCATTTAAGAAATATCCACTGAGAGCCTTTAATGTATTAAGCACTGTTCCAGGGACTTATAGTACAGCAGTGAACAAAGTATAAACATTGTTGTTTTGTAAAGCTTAATTTCAGGTGTAAGAGACATTGAATAAATGAATGAAGAAATAGATCAATAGATTGATAGATGAAAGAAAGAGAGAACAAAAGAAGGAAAGAAAGAAAGAGAAAAGAAAGAATGAATACCAGGTAGTTATAAATGTTGTGGAGAAAAATAAGAGAGAAAAGGAGGATTGGGAGTTCAGAGTGGGTTGTGCATCAGTTTCAAACAATGTTATCAGAGAAGGCCTCACTGAGACAATAGTATGTGAGTAACAACGTTACGCTTGTTAAAGATTTTGTTTTGCTTTTCAATTTTTTAATTGTTTCCTCTATATGAGCATACACTGCTTTATAGTAAGTAAAAAATTATTTTAAGATTTTTAAAATAAGAAAAACAAGTTTAAAGCAAAATTTTTTATTAAAATCAAATATTTAAATGAATGATAGACTCAGCAATATGTAGAATATAAGACAACATATTCAGGCTGAACATAACAGGTACCGAGACTTATTTTATGTAGAAAGTATAGATTATTTGTCATGAGCACAACATTGTGATTTCTGCATCACATCCCCACATGAAATTATTTTAGCAAACAAATACAATTTATCTCAGAAGTTAATTGAATATATGCCATGGAGGTAGTTTTGTTCACTTTTTCAATAAACATAAGCAATACCTTTGATATAAAAATCAGTGTAGTGTGAAAACTAATTATTCTATTTTCTCAGTGGCTTGTAATATTATACTTCAGAAATACTACAGAGTTTATCAAAATGCAGTTTGTCCGTCTTGCTGAGAGCTGTTAACCTATTGTAATAAATATGTAGTTTTTTGGGTTTTTTTCTGTAGCTTCCAGTAATGCTTCTAGGCTGTTAAAATGCAAGATAATTCTGAGTATAGGCAAAAATCGATCAGATCAGTTTTGGGGATTTGTTGATTCTATATCTTTATTAAAAATGATGGAAATTTTATTATTGAAAATGAGCTAACTTCATTAGTTTTCCATCTCAAGTTATTTTTGTTTCTTTGGGCACTTTAAGTACATTCTTCTTATTTATACATAATTTGAGAATGATCA